CCTGGTTAATCCTGACGTATTCTCTCCCTCACGACCACAGAGCTCCATTACAAACACATCAGTGAACCATGACACTGGTTGTCCTTAATAGCCATGAACATTGTCACGCTAGTTTATTTTGAGCCGATCCCACATACGCTGTCCTGCTGCCGGATGAAAACTAGATCATTATGTGCAGAAAATATTACCCCTAAAATATGCGGCATTCACTCCACAACTCCTAGCTGAACAAGAAATGATTCTGCCCTTTAAGAAACAAAACTATGAATTAGAGTTTTTAAAGTTTAATGGGTTTGGGGCTGAGTGCCACAGTTGTTACACATTTTAATGAAATTTCAAAATAAAACAATCAAATCAACTTGTATCAATAAAGCAAACAAACAAAATGTATTTTTTCAAGCTTAATCCATGTATGTTCTCCTGATATAATACTCCAAACACATATTTTCACTGTAGCTTATCCAATGAAAACCTAATCCGTCCCAAAGGAATCATTATAGTTTCATGTTCTTCTCACTGGAAGCCGACCTGCTGTCTCGGGACTCGTGACGAAGCCCTTTTTCCAAAGGCCAGGCAACGATAGAGACAGTTGTAGGTTGGAGTGATGTAACACTATGTGCTTTGGAAAACAGAGAACAGGACATTAGGGGAGGGGGGAATCTTTGTCCCGGTGGAGATCAAGGGCTGTGGAGGACGGAGGGTTTAAATACCAGGCAGATCACAGAGGTGCTGTGAGCTCTGCAGAGACATTTAAATGGATTCTGGATCCAAATTAAACATTTCCAGCTTTACAAAGCAGAAAGAAGAGTTTTTGACTTTTACTCTCAGGAACCGTTGTTCTTCATTCAGGTGCAGCGGCAGATCTTGAGTAAGTGTTAATGCTCCTGTCAGCTATTTCTAGAGGCATCAGTATGGAACAGCATGACAATAATCTAGTTGTAAGTTTAGATATTCATATGCATTTAGTTTTTTCGTCTTGTTAGCTACATGTTTGGCAATAAAGATCCGTCAGTCCAATTTAATCCAGAATTAAGTATCTCAATGACTACTGGGTGGATGTCTGACATTTTGGTGCCGAGAGGATGAATCCCAACGACACCCTGACTTTTGATTTAGTTTCAAAATATCCACAAAGCTTCATGCTAGCGCTAAAGTTAATATTTGCAAACAGTTACCATCAGCATTGATGATTTTTTCTTTTAAAGCGAGCTGACATAGCTATAATACGTGGACGTCCATCAGTCTGACAATTGTTTTTATTATCTCTGCTTGTGTTTCTTCTTGTTTCTTCTTCTTCTTCTTCTTCTTCTTTCTCTTCTTTCTCTTCTTCTTCTTCTTCTTCTTTCTCTTCTTCTTCTTCTTCTTCTTCTTCTTTCTCTTCTTCTTCTTCTTCTTCTTCTTTCTCTTCTTCTTCTTCAGCTATCAGCAGACCTCCAGAGGGGGCACATTGGGGTTTCAGAGCCCAGTGTGTGCAGCAGTGCTATGGGCAAGAAGGACAACGAATATGGGTCTTTGAGAGGTAACCTTGTGTTTTGGTCATGGGTTACTTTGGTATTCTTCAAACTGGACTCAATTGTCCCATGTTGTTGTTTTCTTTTTGTCAAAGTGATGAATGGGAACAATTTGGTTCGGTACTGATTTTCGTCCATAATATAATAACAATCTGTCAGTGGTACTTTTAGTGGACAAACATTGACGGTTTAAAACACCGTTTATACACAAAAACATAACACCAAACTTACCCTTGAACGATAAATCCATGTTTAGTGCGGCTCACACTAGTAGGGGCATAAAGAACCTTCCGACGGCGGCATGAGCAGAAAAGAAGTCTGTTTTCCTTCCAGAAGTGAGTGATTTATTGGAAATAATCCACTGTTTCTGTGCATGAACTGTTACTCAAACCTGCTCATAATTATTCATCACAGAGACAACTGGGTTGATTTCAGTGTTTTTCTTGATCATTTAAGTTTCTTTAAAATGTGTCTGAATCTGAACCATACACTTGTGATGCCGGTGCTCGTCGCTTCAGATCAAAGTGTTTATTACATTAACAGTAGATCGTCTTCCTGTCATTTGGTCCACTTGTAGACGCTGATGACCCAACAACAGACTACCAGACGACAGGCGACAGAAAGACTGGAAGCTTCGAGCTCTGCGGCTCCTTAGAAACTAACTCGGTGAGATTCTCTTCCTCGTGTTTTACCCTAAAAAATAAAAGATTTAACATTTCCCATTTAATCTGTAAACACGTGTTGTTTAGACACACTAAATATGGGACAAATTGTTTTAATTATTTCAATTTCTGTTGAGATTTCTGTGCAGGAACGAGTTTGTTGACGACGTAAGTGTTAAGCACTGAGTTTGTCAACGTAGTGCGATAGCTGTGGGACGACATTAACCACCGAAGACGGAGAATGAAACCTTAACGAAGTGACTTTTCAGATCTGTGTTCTATTAGTGAGTAGAACACATTAACAAGAGGACCAATGTTTACTCACCAGATATAAACATGTATTTGGTGGAGAAACCTAGACTGTAACGTCACACCAGAGAGAAAGTCACTGTGATCCAACGACAAAATCTATTTGTATTTATATACTCCTGAACCTAACTAAGTATTTCACCATCTTTGTTGCTAACTTCGTAGAAAGATGCATGAAAAATGAGGATATGGTACAAACCGTTGTATGATCCGGTTATTCGAGATGAATCCTGCTGTTCGAGGGTCGGTTTTATCTTCAGGACAGAACTTTCATCACTATTCTTCTATTTCTTGGTGGTTTTGTGTGATTTAAGTTCAAACTTAAGTGATTTTGTGAATTTATTTTTTAAATTGTCTTTCTCTTGTCTGTTTGCCTTCATCGCTTCGTCTTCCTCCGTTTGCCTCGTTTGTCAACACTAAACTCAGCCTGACGACAACTCGCTCCAGCTTCAATCGGCTTTTCTTGGCGACAGCGCTGTCAATCCCGCTGAAGATGATGATGATGATGATGATGATGGAGGGAAGAAGAGTCACGAGGGAGAGAGCTGTGATGAGGATGAAGAGGGTCACCTGGTCTATCACGTCGGCCTCCTGATGAAAGGAAGATGTACAGTCTTTGTTTTATTAAAGATGTTGATATTCAAACACTGGTTTTCTTGCAGTTTAACTGGTTGAAAACTATTTCACGAGAACAGAATCCGACGCCGTAAACAGGCAAAAAAACACAACACAATTGAGACTCATCCTCCTAATGACGCTGCAAAAAAAGCTCCTAAAACAAGAATAATATCAACACATCCCACATCAGAGAATGCTACATTCAGAATAAAGAATAATTCTGAATGTCTGTTTCCACGACCCGTACTTAGAATAATATCCTGCAGGTTGCTGCTCACACTGGTGGCCTAAATAAATGTCTCTGTCCTTTCTTCCAGATGAGGTGGTACTTACTTTGGGAGCAGGAGCCTTTGGAAAAGTGGTGGAGTGCATCGACAGAGACAAGTAAGCTTCTGAAGAGATTCTCACATCCAAACCTGTCCGATCGTGGAGCTTCTCTGGTCTCCATCCATCATGAAAACATCCTGATTTATTTTATTCAACAGTCTAATCGTCCCGTAAACTGAAAGACGTGAATGTGCTGTGTGTTCATCAGAGACCAACACGTCGCCGTGAAGATCGTGAGAAACATCGAGTGTTTCCGTGAAGTGGCGAAGTCTGAGATCTCCGTGCTGGAGGAGATCAACACGCTGGATGACGACAACAGATTGTGAGTGGATTCTTTAACTATTCATTTATTATTGTACTACTTTGTCTGTTTGCGTCTGTAGATTTCTACCAAATTCACCAAAAGTTACCATTAGATAATGCCTCATTTGCATATCTAAACACAACAATTCTGAAAACTTGTAATACAAAAAATATTTGTCTTAAAACAGAGGAAGTTTCATCGTGATATCTGTGATATTTGAGATCTGTGCTATCCCCCCCCCCCCCAGTGCCTGTGTGAGGATGCTGGACTGGTTCGACCACGAGGGTCACACGTGCATCGTGTTCGAGCTGCTCGGCCTCAGCACCTTCGACTTCCTGCGCCTGAACGACTTCCTGCCGTTTGGCGTGGAGCAGATCCGACACATGGCCTTCCAGCTCTTCAGAGCCGTCTGCTGTGAGTCCAGTGTGTGTGTGTGTGTGTGTGCGTGTGTGTGAACACACGGTTACAATGTGTGTGTGTGTGTGTGTGTGTTCCACAGTCCTGCATCGTAACCACCTGACCCACACAGACCTGAAGCCGGAGAACATCCTGTTCGTCTGCTCCGACTACGACCTGGAGTTCAACCACGAGACGGTAAACGCTTTGTATTAACAGCAAAAAAAAAGTAAAAATATGTTCACCAAGTAGCGGGATGTTCAGCAGTGTGTGTGTGTGTGTGTGTGTGTGTGTGTGTGTGTGTGTGTCTGTGTCTGTGTGTGTGTGTGTTAGAAGTGTGAGGAGAGGAAGCTGAGGAGTCTGGATGTGAAGGTGGTGGATTTTGGCACCGCCACATTCGACCACAAACACCACGAATCCCTGGTGTCAACACGCCACTACCGAGCTCCAGAAGTCATACTGGGTACGCACGCACGCACGCACGCACACACACACACACACACACACACACACACACACACACACACACACACATATTGACTAAATGGTCCGTGCTTCTGGTTGTAACTGAGTGTGTTTCAGATCTGGGTTGGAACCAGTCGTGTGACGTTTGGAGTTTGGGCTGCGTTCTCATGGAGTTTTACCTGGGACACACACTCTTCCAGGTACACACACACACACACACACACACACACACACACACACACAGGAACAGCTGTGACTTTTTTCTATCCTGTGTGTTGTTTCAGACCCACGACAGTAAAGAACATCTGGCCATGATGGAGAGAATCCTAGGACCGATTCCCCTCCACCTGCTGAAACAGACCAGGTAACGTCCCCCTTGGACCCCCAAGTCCTCCAGTTAGGCCAGTT